TGTTTATTTTTGTGTATTGGTGTTTTTCTATGGGTGTCAGGTCCCCTGGAACTGGAATTACAGACATTTGTGAGCTGCTATGTGGGTGCTGGGAATTGAACTCTGGTCTTCTGAAAGAGAAGTCAGTGCTTTTAACCACTGAGCCATCTCTAGACCCTATACAATACATTTTTAAATGAGCTAAAAAGCACAAAAAACCAAGCAATGGTAGAAACATACATAGAGTATAACAGAAATAACTCTTAATTTGTATCAGTAAACTAAAATCAATACCAATATAAAATATTTTGAGATTAATAGTTGTTTTTTGGATTAAAGTTGATTCAATAATTACCTTTTTTGTTTGTTTGTTTTTTGTTTTGTTTTTTAAGACAAGGTTTTTCTGTATAGCTTTGGAGCCTGTCCTGGAACTTGCTCTGTAGACCAGGCTGGCCTCAATCTCACAGAGATCCATCTGCCTCTGCTTCCCGAATGCTGAGATTAAAGGTGCGTGCTACCACTGCCCGGCTTGAATTTAACTCTTGTTTATCTTTTTTTCTGACTATGATCGATAACAACTTGTAACCATTTTCCCTTAAAAGATAACAAACATCCATAACCAATATTTTGGAAAATGTGGGCGTAGTTTTCCAGACTACTTCCAGTTGTCTGTGGTGTTGGTATTTTTGGGGGAACACTGAGAAAATTGGGACAATGAAGTCCTGGCTGAAGTAGGCTGTCAGTTTGGACCATCTCAGCCAGCGTCCTTGAAGTTGTTTTGGATGCAGAGTTTTGAGGAGACTTAACAGAGGCAAAAATGTTGGGTGATCTGGGCCGTCTGTTTTCATTGATATTTGGTCCCCTTTTTCTGAAAATACATAAACTTATAAAGGTAGCATGCATTACAGGTATGGAATATGAGGTGTGTACAAGTCAGTTAAAGATGATTTCTTTTTTTTTATGTTTGAGCATGTATAATATATATTATGTGTCTTGTTTTTTTAGGTTTAATTTCTTTTTTGTCTTTGGCCAGGATTTCAGGGGGGGTCTTCCCTGAACAAACCTGATCATCTTTAACCTGGAATGAATCCACAGCCTCTCATTTCCTGTGGAAATAAAAGCATAACCTCTGTCCCAAAGCAGCATACCTTTTGACTTTGATTTTTAAGTCAAGATAATTGGTTTAATCTATCCGTTTTCATAATCCAGTGGTTTTTAGCAGTTATATCTCATTCATTAGCAGTTAAAAAATTTAAAGACAACACAATAACATACAGGATCCAGACTTTCTGTGTATTTCTCAAATTTATGTAGCTCATTGCATGTATTTTTTATCTATTGCTTTTTTTAAGAGTTTTATTATTTTTAAACTATTTCTTAATCTATGACTGACTATCCCTTTTTTTTTCCTCTCCTAGGCCTTTGTACATCTTTAAACACACTGTAACTTGTTTAGAGTTTTTTTTTTCCCATCTGAATCTGTCTTTACTGTGTATCTGTAAATCCTTTTTGATCGCATGAGACAAATCTCAAACTGCTATGTCAGCTGCTGCAGGTGTAGCTTAGCTTAGTGCATGGCAGTAGTTCTTGGTGGCTGGCAGCTGGCTCTTCCGCAGGCAGCTGCTGGGAGATGTGACTCGATACTGCAGCCTGGCATGAGACACACTAGACTAGGAAACCAAATTTGACTGTTTCTGTGCATTTAGAACCTTTTTGAAGCTTTCTCAGGCTTTATGTGGATCTATGTGGCCCTGGACGTTGGGCGCCATTTGTGGGAGGACTTTTCTTTCCCTCCCTCCAGTTCCCACATAACAGACATGAAGTCTTAATATTAATTATAAATGCCCAGCCAATAGCTCAGGCTTGTTACCAGCTAACTCTTACATTTTTCGATTAACCCATATTTTTATCTGTTCTTTGCCACGTGGCTTGGTATCTTTTCTCAGTACAGCAGCATGTCCATCTTGATTTTCTCTGAGTCTGCTGCTACTCTTCAGATTCCCTCTTCCCAACATTCTCAACGTGGCTCTCTTACCTAACCTTATTCTGTTAAGCTGTTGGCCAGCCAGCTTCTTTATTAAACCAATCACAGCGACATATATTCACACAGTGTAAAGGAATATTCCACAGTCTTAGTGTTCTAAATTGGTGTCTATTAGCAGTCAGATTTGTGTATTTAACTTACTTCCTTTAGAAAAATCAGCTTAAAAATACTAATTTCATATTAATGAACTTCAGCAAGGGGATATTCTATTTCAAATATATTTCCTTTGCTTCTCCAAACTGAGTTTAACAGTGAGCACTTTCTTTTCCTTCTGTGGACACAATTTTACTATGTAGCCTTGGCTTGCCCTCAACTCTCAGTCTTCCTGCCTTAGCTTCGCGTTGCTGGAATTACAAGCATGTGCCCTAACACTTGGCCTGGAGAGCTATTTACTAGTCTGCAGGTGGTCACTTGAACAATGGTCTCAGCTCAGCCTTAGTTTATGTTTCTTATAAATAGGTGATTAGGTAATCTTAGAATTTTTCCTGTGAATTTTCAGGTGTTCTTTGCCATTTGATTTATTCTTTTTATTTTTAAGAACTCATTTGTTAAAATAAGTCATAAGGGAGATTTAGCGTGATGGTAGAATGCTAGCCTAGTATATATGAAACAGCTATCAAGCAAAACACAAAAAAGCTAAATGCATTATTAACGGCTTATACAATTTCCAAATTGCTGTTGACTTTCTTGTGTATTTTTCTTTTCTTTAAATACACACACACACACACACACACACACACTTTTTTTATGTGTTTGATGCTTATGTGAGAATGCAGGTGCACAGGTGCCAGGGTAAAGGGGTGGAGGTCAGAGGACAACTTGGGAAAGCTGGGTATATCCTTCTGCTGTTGGTTTTGCGGATCAAAATCAGGTTATCAGGTTTATGTGGTAAGTGCTGTACCTGCTGAGCCATCTTGCTGGCCTTTATTTGTTTTTCAATATTCATTTAGTATGTAAATTTTTATTGATTCAGTGTGATCTAGCAATGTTTCAAATGTTTAGGTCATATGGTAAGGTCATATGGTATTGCCATTGTGGAGACTGTTATAATTGTTATAACTAAATAGTTCTTGGTAGTGTATAAAGTTATAATAGTCCATAGTAGTGCATCTAGAAATTTTTTTAAAAGTTAAATATGTGTGTGTATGTTTGTGTATGTTTGTGTGTGTGCATGCGCGCGTGTGTGTGCGCGTGCATGCGTGCATGCGTGCGTGCAAGTGTGTGTGTGTGTGTGTGTGTGTGTGTATCTGTCTCTGTGTGTGTGTGTGTCTGTCGTGGTTGTAGGAAAACTTAAGTCTCTTTTCTTCACTATGTGGGTCGTGAGGATCTAGGTTAGGGTCCCAGGCTTAGCAACAAGTGCCTGTACTGTCTGAACCAATTCACTGACCCTGGAGACAGGAAGTTATAAGAGCCTACTTCTTGATGGGGACTTAGTACAGAGTCTCAAGGTGATCCAGGGCATCACATGGCAGGAGGGGTGTATCCAAGGAACAGAGCCAAACAGGCTTTTTTATAGCACACCAATTTCTGAGATAACCTGTTAATCCACTGATTAATGAGTAGATTATTCCGTGAGGTCAGAGCCCCTGTGCTCTGGTCACCCCATTCCCCCCCCCTCTAAATTGTGACAAGAGTTCTCACTACAGCTCTGGCCTGGAACTTGCTGTGTAGACCAGACAGAATTGTCTTGAATTCATAAAGATCTGCCTCTAACTGCCAGTATTGAAATTAAAGGATTCAGCCATTCTGCCTGGTCTGTCACCCCTTATTAATTCACAATAGGGATTATTTTTCAACATAAACTTTAGTGGGAACATTCAAACCATAATACACACTGACAAATAAAAAAACAGAGTATGCTATGGAGGGATGATATGTAAGATAAATACCTTATTAGTTTTAAAGAATTTTAAAATGAGTTTATCTTTTGTCTTTCTGGGTTTTATGTTTTCAGATATTTTTACTGTTAAAGATAAAAAAGCTATTGATTTGTTTTAATTATTACTTTCAGAATATTAATGATTTTCTTCCTTAAGACTTTGAGAAAAGTAGTCATGTGATGGGTCTGGTAGCATGTTCCAAGATTCTCCAGATCCTGAAGCAGGTGGATATGTTAAGTGCAGGTGTTTGGTGCCAGCCTGAAAAACATTGAGATCCTTCGCCTTCATCTTTTTAAAGACTATTTTTTATTTTATGTATGAGTAACCTTTATGCATAGAAGCAACTTACAATATTAATTCAATGTAGGAAAAATAATTAAGTGAGCATATTTATGTATTTTTGCAGTTATTTCTGGTTGGCATATATAAAACAAGGTATTTGATACTTTGCCAAACTTCTTATGAGATGCTTTTGTTTAGCTCGGAAGTAAGCTATAAGCAGGAATCACTGAATTAAGTAGTTGAAAGATTATAAATTAGATGGTGGCTTAGTTGAATAGGTAATTAATATCTTAGTTTTTAACAAAACTGTTTTTAAACTTTACTCTTTCTTTTTTAGGTTACCATACATAATGACAGTTATGACATTCTTTGTGGTAAGGATTCTTTTCTCACCTATGTTAATTTGCTCATCATGAAATATAAATGAAAGGTTTTAATTTCAAAATCACTACTAGTGTTTTTTGATGATTTAGTTCCTAAAAAATTTTACAAGGCTGTATGAACTGTGAGTAGCTGTAAAGTTTCATTTAGGTTCTCAAGCACAGGTCTATTTTCTCTGACTCTAATATTTAGTTCGAGAATTGTTCTTATTTTTCTTTGTCTTTTGCATTAATTTGTATTTGATTCCTTCTTCAAAAAGAAGTAAAATTAAAAGAAACTAAGCATTGATTACCACAAATAGTTGTTCTTTTGCTCCCTAAAATATTTTAATGTAGATGGTAAAGAGATTAAAGATTCTAGGAGTCGTGTTCTATATTTCATTTTTTTAGTCAAGGTTTTAATGTTATGCTTTTTTTGTTGTTGTTATAGGAAGCTTAACAAACTCTTTGACTATCCCAGAATTTGAAGAATCCATGAACAATTGTGACCAGTCTAGCCTGAATGTGGATAATATAAAATATTCTGTGTGGGTTTCTTTCTTTGAGATTTACAATGAAAGTATTTACGATTTGCTTGTTCCTGTATCATCTAAGTTCCAAAAGAGAAAGATGCTACGTCTTTCCCAAGATGTAAAGGGCTATTCTTTTATAAAAGGTACATCAGCAAACATTGCTTTAATTTTATTGGTTTAAAGTTAATTTCTAGATTCGTGATAGCTATAGGCAACAAAAAGGAAGTTTTTTTTTCTTTTCTTTTCTTTTTTTTTAATTTATTTATTTATTATGTATACAGTGCACATATCCCTGCAGGCCAGAAGAGGGCACCAGATCTCATTACAGATGGCTGTCAGCCACCATGTGGTTGCTGGGAATTGAACTCAGGACCTTTCGAAGAGCAAACAGTGCTCTTAACCTCTGAGCCATCTCTCCAGCCCCCCGAAGTTTTTTTTTTTTCTTTAAATTAGTATTTTTTATCCATTATTAGCATCAAGAAAATGAGTTTGTGCTTTGGAAATATTTTTTTGTTATCTTTATATAATTGAGTATAAGGAGGTTCTAGCTTGATACTGTGTTTGCTTGAATGTTACGTGCGTGCGTGCGTGCGTGAGGTTCTAGCTTGATACTGTGTTTGCTTGAATGTTATATTCTTGGTGATAAAATGCAAGGTGTTCCAATAATTATTATTTTACTTTGTAGTTGGAACTGTAAATTGTTACTAGTCTTCCATGTGAGCTTGCATAACTTAAATACTAAATGTCTTTATAGCCTCTTCTTTACATGTCTTGTGGAGTAAGGAGTAGCTTAGTTGACTCTCTAGGATTTATGACCAATCTAGGAAAGATTTTATATGGTACAGGGAAAATACTTTGCAAAGATTATACTGTCGCACAGATGTTAGATTTTTATAAACTAGTGCATATCTTCTTTATTTGTTAAAGATCTGCAGTGGATCCAGGTATCTGATTCTAAAGAAGCATACAGGCTTTTAAAGCTAGGAGTGAAGCATCAGAGTGTTGCCTTTACAAAACTGAACAATGCTTCTAGTAGAAGGTAAGTAGTGAACCCTTGAGTACAATCCCTGAGACAACCACAATCTTCTGTACACATGGAAGTAGCTAATTGAGATGGATGTGACCAGTAGGTTCTCTGAGATGTACTGTGAATTTGTAGACATGATAGCCTTCTGTACCTAAAAAGTACTAGACAGTTATTTGTCTGGACATTACGTTTCCTAATTTGCAGGATGTTTTTGAGGTGTTTTTATTCTTCCTTTATGTTAGCATCCTGGATTATTTTCCCAGTTGCTTAAAGTGGTAGTCTTTTCTCTCTGTATGTATATATATACTATTTGAAAAATGATTCAGGTCATACTTTCAAAGGGTTAAGAAAGAATGTTTGTGATGAGTGGGATTATATGGAAGGAGGCAAAATAAGCTTTAGCAGGGAGATACTTAAAATACTTTCTCTTGAGGAAAAGCCCTATCTACAGTGAGATGGGCATGAGGGGGTAATATGATCCACAGCAGCCTATGTATAGGCAGAATTATGCTTTGCTTTTATATTTTCAAAGAATGTATCTGTACACCACAGCATTCTCACTAATAGTATGATCTCTGCATGGAAATTCTTATTTTCCCCCATAGTCCTGGAGATTGACCCCAGAGTCTCATGTATGCTAGACAGGTACTCTACTACTGACCTACATCCATCTCCAGCCATCTTTTTACTTTTTATTTTTAAACAGGCTAGCCTTGAACTTTAGATCTTTTTGCTTTCGCCTTACGAGTAGTTGCATATTGAGTCTTTATTCACATGCTTTTATTAATAGAAATTGGAGTGCTAAGAGGGGAAGGTTTAAGGGATTTGGGGTTTGGCAAGTGATAAGGTGACGCTAGACAGTTGGGCAAGTGTAGGTGACAGTGGAGTAGGGGGTTGGCATATCTGGCAGCTAGTTGCAAAATGTATCCTTGGGAGAAGATACATTAAATTGTGTAAAGAAGTTCCTTTAGTTGCTTGTCTCCTGTAGAATGCATGCATTGAAATGGAATGATAATAATTGATCTTGTTCCTTCTTTTAGTCACAGCATATTCACTATTAGAATATTACAGATAGAAGATTCTGAAATGCCTCGTGTAACTCGAGTTAGTGAGTAAGTTGAATATTCTTTAAATTGTAGTTATTTTGAGATATTTTGAAAAATTTTACAGTAACCTTTTTTTGGTGGGGGGTTGATTTAGATTGTCTTTATGTGATCTTGCTGGTTCAGAACGAAGCATGAAGACACAAAATGAAGGTGAACGATTAAGAGAGGCTGGGAATATCAACACTTCTTTATTGACTCTGGGAAAGTGTATCAATGTTTTGAAGAACAGTGAGAAGTCTAAGTAAGTGTCATTAGTATAAATATCAAAATCTTTAAATTTTTAACTTTGTTTTCTTTAGAAAATACTTTTTGAAAACCTGTCTCTTACACAAAGATTGTAGTGATTATTTTCCATAGCAGATATAAACTGATGCTGTAGAAAGCACGTCTCTGTGATGCTGATTTAGTGTTTCAAACTTCTTGGTGTCTGTGTTTTTGAGACATGGTCTCACATAGCCCAGGCTAGCCTTGAACTTAGTGTGTACTGAGAATGACCCTGAACATGTGATCCTCCTGCTTCCTCTTTCCAAGTGGGATTACAGATATGCACCTCTTCATGTGATGCTTTAGAGCGAACTCAAGGCCTTGTGTGTATGCTAGGTAACCACTCTGTCAGTGAGCTACACCCTAGCCCTGTAACTACTTTATTCTTTAGTAATATATTGTGTGCGTTCTTGTAGATGTGACAGTCTACTGCATTTGTTATCTTTTTAAGCTGATTAAATGATAGATTAATTAGCCTTCACAACTTTAGTTAAGGTATTTTATGATATGTGCCATAGAAGTACTATATTACGGGGGATACAGTTCAGTTAAATGTGATTTTTTTTTTAAAAAAACATTTTGTCTAGTAGATTATTGTATTATTCTTAGCAGTATTTCTTAAAACAGAGAAAGACTATTACAAGGGAAAGTATTCAAACAAATTTTACTAGCAATCCAACTAAAGTATTTGTTTCTTTAGTACTGGTAGTCTGTTTTGGGGCCTGGCACATTCTAGGCAAGAGCTCTAATACTGAGCCATATTCCTAACCTTACATGAAATTTATTTTAACTCGCTGTGTTTTTAAATTTTCCTGTAGGTTTCAACAGCATGTGCCTTTCCGGGAAAGTAAACTGACTCACTATTTCCAAAGTTTTTTCAATGGCAAAGGGAAAATATGTATGATCATCAATATTAGTCAGTGTTGTTCCGCCTATGACGAAACACTCAATGTATTGAAGTTCTCAACCATTGCACAAAAGGTAAATGTATTTGGATTGCTGCTAAATTTATGAACATCTCAGAGAATATTTGCCATTTTTCCTTGAAAGAGCACATGTTTGGGTTTTGTTTTGTTTGCTTTGCCTTTTATTTTTTGAGATAGGCTCTCTGTAGTCTAGCCTGGCCTTGCGATTGCAGCATCCCCCTCCTGCCTTTGCTTCTTCAGTGTGAAATTAGAAGTTTGTGTTACTGTGCCTGGCAACGGTTCTGTGAAATAAGTAATATTTTATGTCTGCTACTCTAAACCTAGGAGATATTTGAAGATAAAATTGTAATTGTTTAACTAACTAGAATGACATAGAAAAAATTGAATGTTGTTACCAAAAGGAGTAAAATGATATTTAATGCTAAATATTAATTATAAACTTAGATTATAGATTCATGGTAATTTTGGAATGAATTGTTCACTCTGCTATTCATCTGGCTTATGAGTGATGATACAAAGAATGCAAGGAGGCATGTTGATTTGTAGATTGCATGCAAAGTAGACTTTTCTTCCTGGAAAGTTCATTTAGCAATGCTAATTTCTTTTTTTAAATGTCTTTTTGCATAGAAAGAGAGGTCACTGCTTCTGTGATCATTCACATTCTTACCCCAATATCTGACTCCCAAGTTTTTATTGATAAAGGGTAATTAGATAAATGCTACAATTTGACTAATTTTCAAAGTTGTTTTTGTTAGGTTTGGTGAGGTGGTACCTTTGACCCCAGCACTTGGGTGACAGAGGCAGGTGGCCTCTGAGTTCCAGGCAGGCTGGAGCTACACAGTGAGAACCTGTCTCAAAAAAATTACTTCCAGTTAAAAAATTCTTGCCTTTCCCTTTGTAAAAGCCACATTGGATATTTTCACAGGTGTATGTTCCAGATACTTTAAGTTCTTCTCAGGAGAAATCTTTTGGGTCCATCAAATCTTCTCAAGATGTATCATTAGACAATAATTTGGATGGTAAAATACTAAATGTAAAAAGAGCCACTGTTTCATGGGAAAATAGTCTAGAAGATGTGGTTGAAAATGAAGATTTGGTTGAGGATTTAGAAAAAACCGAAGAAACACAAAACATGGAAACTGAACTTACTGAAGAAGACATAGATAAAACGTTAGAGGAATGCAGAGTCTTCAGCAGTCACAAGAACAAGGTATGCCTTAAAAACTGCTTGGCTTAGTCCTCTGAAGTTAGGCTTCGTCCCTCTCCTCTTTGTATGTGTTTGTGATCATGTGAGTGTGTGTATGCAGGGGTCAGAGATCAATATCAGATGTGGTGTGGGGGTGGTCAGAGAACAACGTTGTGGCCTAGATTCTTTACTTCCAGGGATCTCTTGGCTTCTCATTTGGGTGCCTGGGAGTTTTAATTCAAAATGAGTATATGATGATATTTTACAAATAAGTATTTTAGTCCACCCCTCTGATTTGGATTTTGAGATAGGGTCTTGCTATGGTGCCCTGGCTGGCTTAGAGCATGCATGATTGACCACTCTGCCCTTAGAATTGCCATCATCCTCTTGCTTCTGTCTCCCATATGAAGATGTTACAGGTGCACTCAGCCACACACAGTTTTTCTTTCTAAGCTAGTGCTGGCAAATGAATTCAAGGTTTTATATGTGCTCAACATGTAGTTTGTAAGAACAGGGAAAGATTTTCTTTGTGGTCACATAACCATTTTGCAGCATTGACTTCCAAAAGAGTACAGATAACTTGTCTTGTAGAATACCTCTACTCTAGATTTATCTGGATTCTCCTCTTGTTTAAACCTGTGGTAAGTATATCTCACAGGTGAAGTTATGGATTTCCCATTACTTCATTTGAGGAAGTATGTTATATCTGGTTTCTCCATTTTTGAAAATGGCTTGCTTATTTGGTTAAGGCATAGTATTCCAGATCTCTTCTTATTCTAAAAATGTATTATTTACTGGAGTCATACCTTTAAACTATGTAAGTGTCTTGTGCCTTAATATCTTTTCATCACATGATTTTAGTATATTCTGCCAGAGTTAGTTTGCAATCTTAAGTATTAGTATTTAAAACATCTACCTTGTACTAGAGGTTCTGTTTCTTTAAAAATGATTTTTATTTTGTGTGTGTGCATGCATGCATGTGTGTTGGTTTGGAAAAGTGGGTATGTGTCACCACATGTGTAAGTCAGAAGACAACTCGTGACAGTCAGCCCTTTTCTTCCAGCATGTGGGTTCTAGAGGATGAACTCAGGCTGTCAGGCTGGTCATCAAGCAAATTTACCTGCTGAGCCATCTCCAGAAGCCATTAAAAAAGAAAAGAAAGCCTAGCATGGTGGTACATTTTGTAATCCCAGTTCTGGGGAGGAGAAGACAGATGGATCTGTGGGTTTGTTGGGTTGCCACCTTAACCTAGTAAATGAGCCCCAGGCCAATGAAAAGACCATGTATCATAAAGCAGAGTGGATAACATTTTAGCAGAAATGATACCTGTGTTGTCCAGTCATGTTCATATGCACACACATACATATGCACAACATGCTTGTGCTCACATGCAAGTATATATACATATAAACCCACTTCTCAAAGGTATTACATTTATGCAGAATTCTATGTCTACAATATTTCTCCATCATTAGTTACTATTTGATGTTTGTTCTATGAAAGTAACATAATTGATGCAACCTCTTGAATTGGCTTTTGGTTTTTTACGGTTCCTTATTACTGCCACAAAAATATACAAGGTAATTAGCATTCTTCCAGCCAGAAACCTGGGCTATGGTGAATAATTATTTTCTCACAGTTAGTTCTTGATAGAATTCATTTTCAAACATACAGTTGAGAAAATCAAGAATCGATTAATTTTGAGAGTTTAATTGTTGTTGAGAAATAAATCTCAAACCCTTAAGAATACCAGGGTGTTTTTTCTTAATGCTGCAACTTATTTTCTTGTGAATTTGTGCCTGATATGTTAATAATTAACTGCTCTAGATCATATTATCATATATGTTTTCAATCTTTTTCTTTTTACTGTACATGTACACATATGTGTATGTATGTGCGTGTGTGTATATATATATATGTGTGTGTATGTATGTATAGTAAAAAGTCTAAGAAGATAAAATTATTCAATATGTGTCTTAGAAATTTTGGAAAGTAGACATTTGTAGCAGTTTCTCTGCTCTGTACCATATTAGGGCTTCAGATTTTGACAGAACACTCTGTAGAGTATGTGTCATTATGAGTGTGTGTGTACGTGTGTGTTTGTAATATGTGTGAGGGTGAGCTTGTGCCATGGTGAGTCATATCCCTTTCCCTAATAGGACACTTTTTCTGTTTTTATATACAGTCTCACTGTATCCTAGTCTGGCCTAGAATTTACAGAGATCTGCCTACTGCTTCCTTTTGAGTACTGGGATTAAAGTTATGGATTATTACTATGCCCAGTGGATAGGACACTAACCCAGCTTTTAGCATTTCCTATAGATTGGTCCTTATGTTCCCTGCTTATGAAATGTGGTACTATCAAGCTCATGGAGTTGTGTAGATAAAGTGAAATAAAACGTAACTCTACTATAAACAGTTTTTAGTGGATAATAAATATTCAAATTTTTATAGTACATGGTTAGTTAACTAGACAGAGCTCTCTTTAAGATTTTTTTGTATAGGTTTGTTTCTAAAAGGTGGAGAGGCACACTTGATTTTCCAAGTTAAGGAATCTCTGTAGTCGTGTGATTTTCAGTAAGACTATTAGCACCATTAAAAAGGGCAGGTTTATAACTGACTGAACTATAATAGCTATCTTTAGACAGTCTCTATTTCTCTTGGACTTTACTTTTTCCAATGAAGTATGTGTGCTTATTTTAGAAACTGTTGGATTTAATAGAAGACTTGAAAAAAAGACTAATAAATGAAAAGAAGGAAAAGTTAACATTGGAATTTAAAATCCGAGAAGAAGTTACTCAGGAGTTCACTCAGTACTGGACTCAACGGGAAGCCGATTTTAAGTAAGTTACTTTTTCATGACCCGGTAAGAATTAAGATTTATCTTTTTGTCTGTTTGTTTGTTTTATAGCCATTTCTTAAGTTATGTTTTGTGACTTCTGAATGTGATGACTTCTTTAGAAAGATATTACACATGATTATTTAAATTGCTCTCTTAATAGAATTAATTTATGTTTTAAAGGGAGACACTTCTTCAGGAACGAGAGGCATTAGAAGAAAATGCTGAACGTCGCCTGGCAATCTTCAAAGATTTGGTTGGAAAATGTGACACCCAAGATGAACCAACAAATAGAATTTGTGCCATGAAAGTTGAAACTGAAGTATGTTAATGAAAATATTAAAAATAACCAGTGAAGTTTTTGGTACAAGGATTTAATATCCACATCAATTATGAGAAGTTTTAATGTTACGAAATAATAATGTTTAAAATTAAAACAGTACTACGTGGTTTTATTGTAATGAGGCATGTATTATTGGAAATTCATAGATAAATAGGTGGTGTTTTTGGGTTGTATTTCTGAGACAGGTCCTCACTATTTAGTCCAAGCTGGTTTGGAGCTCCAATCTTCCTGCCTTGGCTTCCTGAGTTCTGAGATGACAAGTGTGTGCCACCTTGTTAGACACAAACAGTTTAAAAGAGACTTTCGTTTTTTGGAAAAGGGTTTTTTTTGGCATTTGTTTCCATTTCAGTTTTTCTTGAATTGTTGTATTGCTTGTAGGCAGAGGCAGTCGTTTTTGTTTGTTGGATTACAGAATACTATTTTCAGAAATGTCTTACAATTTATCAAGAAAAATTAAAAATGTAAAGGAGCCCTTAAAGGGTTACTTACTTAATTATTCTAATCAAAACAGAAAGATTTATTTCTATATAAAAAGGTTTGCCTTTGTTATAAAGGACTGTTGTTTACCTCAAGGAAATTGATTGCTGCTCCCACTGAAGCTGATGAGGCTTTCTGGAGGGATTGTTTTGGCGTTCTTTGGGTATGTGCCTTGTTTCTGAGCCACTGGATTCAGTGGTCTGGGAGAAAGATCTCCAGGCTCTCACTGTCATCCTGTTGTGTTGTGACATGTGCATGGTTTCTAATGTGGACTTCAGCGTGAGAATGGAGGCTACTTTCTTGGGTCACTGTAAAATGCCACATAAGAGTCAAGTGTGATTCAAGGTAGACTTGAACTAGGTAATCAGAATTGTTCTGTAATAACTTACTAAGATTTATGATATATTCCTGAGGAAACAACCTTCATGTTTTATATTTTAGAAATTGAATACTGAAACACAAATTTTGTATAATTGGGAGGGTTTCATGTAATTTAAAGAATATTAAGTTGTGAATTTTTACTGTTTGTAAACTGTTTAAAGTATTACCACATGTAATGAAGTCCACTGTTAATGTTAGACATGTGGTTTTTGCTATTTTTAGGGAGCTCGTAATTATGTAGGAGTTGAAGATATTATTGATTCTCTTCAAGATGATGTCACTGATATTAAGAAACAGGCTGAACTTGCTCATTTATATATTACATCTCTTGCTGATCCCCAGGAAGCTATTGCTTGTTTGCAGCTAAAGTTTAATCAAGTTAAAGCGGAGTTAGCTCAAACTAAAGAAGAATTAATTAAAGCCCAGGAAGAGCTAAAAAATGGAGAGAGTGGTGAGTGCATGATTTTACCCTTATTTGGATTTCGTAGACACAGAAAAACTGGAGTATAGAGATGTATGCAACTTTTCTACCTTAGTGACTAGAAAATGTTTTAAGCTACGTAACAAATCTTAACATTTTTACCATTTGTATTGTGGCTTGCTACAAAAAATACATATTTATGTATGTGTGTATGTACCAGGCTAGCCTCAAAATCACAGAGATCTGCACGTCTCTGCTTCCTGAGTGTTAGGATTAAAGGTGTGTGTCACCACATCTGGCCTACAAATATTTTTTTAGGGCTGGCAGATGGCTCAGTAAAGTTGGTGCCTTGTAGTAAGTAAGCATAAAGACCTGAGTTTGATTCCCAGGCCCTGTAGAGACAGGCTTGGTGTGGTGGCATGTGTTTGTAATCCTAGTGCTGGGGATGTGGACAGAGACAGGTCCTTGGGCCTTGTGACTAACCAGCCCAGCTTAATTGATGAAAGTCTCAGATAGAGACTGTGTCAAAAAGAACAAGGTGGGCAATGATTACGGATGAACACTTGAGGCTGACTTCTGTCCTCTTCAGGTATACAGGTGTACATGGCCCACATGTGCATGTGGGTGCATTCGTGAGCATACACATGAAATAAAAACAACTAAATAGTTTTTAAACGTTTCTGTGCTTTTAGGTCAGTATATTACAGAAAACTTTTCAAAATGAGAACAAACAAACAGAAAATCAACCCAGAACTAAGAGTCTTAACTTTATAAGAAATCTTAAAGACAATTGTAAAGGAGTTAAATTTGTTCTTTTATTTTTTTTCATGGAATCTTTACATAGAATAATAGTTGGGGGTGGGATAATGTCTGTTGAATGGTTTAAAATAGTCTTTGGAACCAATATTTCATTTGATCTCTAAGGGGGAACGAACACACACACACACACACACACACACACACACACACACACACACACACGTTTGCAGCATCTATGTTTTAAGAGAGGTGAAGTGCTCTACTCTTTACTGTGAGAAAGAACAGAGGTAAAAAATAGCAAGTCAGTGATGTCTTATGGAGTGGACCAGCTAGGCACTACCTAATTGTATATGACACTACTGTGTTTCTACTGTTTAGCCTATACCCATCAGTTTGCTTGAAGGTTTGAAAGTGGCTGTTCCTGAAACATGATCTTGTAATTTAACATTAGCACTGTCAACATTCTTTTCCTGAATTTAATGTAATTTCCTAGCCTATGTTTCATTCAATGCTCTTTTTATTATCTTCACAGAATCAGACTCTTTGGTTCAAGTGCTCAAGACATCAAGTAAGGTAATGTAAGCTTTACTTTGTCTTGGTTCGAATTCAATGAGTAATGAAGGGGCATAAATTATGGCTATCTGTTTATTTAAAAAAGATTTTAAATGAAGGTGGTGCAAAGAATGCAGGTGTTGGGGCTGGAGAGATAGGCCAGTAGTTCAGAATGAACTATGTTCATTTGCCAGCACCCACATCAGATGGCCCACCACTGCTTTCAGCTCAAGTTCCAGAGGACTCAAAGCCTCTGGAAAATAGTACAATTTTCAAAGGATTAAAGGGTAAATGTATCATCTTCACCTGAACCAATTGAATATGAAATTGTATTTATGAGATGCTAAAAATCTTCAGAGATGCTAAAGATCATAGTATATAACTTCTGAAAGAAAACATCCTTGTATTAAACATATGAACAAAGCAATACATACATAATAAAAGCAAGTGCTTGAGGAAAAGAAACTTATTCTGTTTAATTTCATGTTTTGTTCCTGTGACTCAGTACCATCCAGCATTATCAATTAGCAACTTAACATATGCTGGAATCATTTCTGAAGAGGAAGCTCAGTTGAGAAAATATCCCCACTAGATTAGTCTGTGAGCAAATCTGTGAGACATTTCTTTGATTAATGATTAGTGTGGAAGGACCCATCCCATAGCAGGTAATGCCACCCCTTGGCAGGTGGTCCTATGTTGTATAAGAAATCAGGCTGAGCAAGCTATCAAGGAGCAAGCCAATAAGCAACAGTCCTGTCTTGTGTGTCTGTGTACATACTTGGGTGCACCTGTGTGTGCTAAGGTATAAATGCAGAGGTCAGAGGACAACATGCAGGAGGAGTCAGTTCTACCACTCTACCATGGGTCCCAGAGAGCGAACTCAGATTGTTAGGCTTGGTGGCAAGAGCTTGCTGAGCTATCTTGCTGGCCCTAAATTTTTTAATTTTTTTTTTTTACTTTTTAATTAAATCCTCTTTAAATTATTTTCTATTGTAGGAGTGTTAAGACAGGATAATACCATAACATGTAGAGTAAACTAATAGCCAAGAGTGTCTGCTTTCTTTAAAATGGTTTTCTAGGGGACAGAAAAGTTGGTTTAGTGGTAAAGAGTACTTGTTGCTCTCAGAGGGCTTTGGCTTGGTGCCCCACACCCACATGGCAGCTCACAACCATCCATATCTCCAGTTTCGGGAGATCTGATACTTTCTGCTGACCTTTGCCAGCATCAGTCACTCATGTGATGTACAGATGTACATGTAGTCAAAACACCTATACATATATATATATATATATATATATATATATATATGTTTTCAATGATCATAACATGCAAGAATGACATCGCAAGGTGACTGGTCAGACTTCTTTGTATCTTGACAGAAAGGTATATTCAGTGCCTGTCACCATTCCCTGGATTTTCTGAACATGAGGTGTTACTTTATTTTTAAGGCTAGAACCCAGAACCTTACACATGTTAGGCACACATTCTACCACTGAGGCACACTCCAGGCTGGGTGGCCTTTAATATTTTGATATATGGGCAAGGGTTCCTCACTCTGTATTATACCTTGTAGTTGTCTATTCTTTAAGTATTTAATATGTTACTCTGTTTTTCTGACTTTTGAGCCTGTCCTGAGGGAAATAACCCCTTTTAATAAGGTGGAAGCATAAGGATGAGAAACCCAAACTGATTTCCTTCAGGCAAAAACCACCATCTACCATCTACCAATTACCATGCTAGGTTATTGGCAATAGATTAATAAAAGTATATGTGTGTAATATTCTGTTAATATTTCATTTCAGAGCACACTTTGCTCTTTAGGTTTTGTGTGTTTGTTTTATTTATTTATTTAAAGACAAGGTCTCGCTGTGTTGACCAACTGGTCTTGAACTTGTGTACTGGAGCAGTTCTCCCACTTTCCCCTAAGTAGCTGGCAATATGACCTTTTTCCATTGCATCCGAAGCACATAATGTTTTGAGTGTGACTTTAGTGATATTTATTTCTAAGTGTTTTCTGTTGCCAGAGTCCTTAGTTATTTTAGGGTGAAACTTAAACAGTTTGCAAAGTGTTTCATCAAGTTTGAGAACAGACCAATGATGAGAATAGACTGATGAGAGGTAATATGAGCCGGGCGGTGGTGGTGCACGCCTTTAATCCCAGCACTGGGGAGGCAGAAGCAGGCGGATCTCTGAGTTCGAGGCCAGCCTGGGCTACAGAGTGAGTTCCAGGACAGGCTCCAAAGCTACACAGAGAAACCCTGTCTCAGAAAAACCACACACACACAAAAAGAGAGGTAATATGAGTAGTTCTGGTGTTTGTTGTAGGTTTTTCTTTAGAACTGATTTTAATTATTTTGTTTTAGGTTGATACATCTTTAACCAGCAATAAATCAACTTGTAATGAAGCAGTCACAATGCCCAAGAACAACAGAACCCAGACACATTCAGAAAGGAAAAGATTAAATGAAGATGTTCTTCAGCAAGATGAACCACCAGCAAAGAAAGGTATTGGCACTTCCGCTCCCTGCAGGGGTGCTTCACAAGCAGGGAATGACCTGACAAGAAAAGGCTTTGGGAAAACCTAGATACCAACCATGATTTAATCTGTTTGTTTTTTACTCTTTTATTCTTTCTGGGGCCCGACACCCAGCTCTCAAATAAATACACAGAATCTTGTTCTTATTTATGAATGCCCAGCTTTAGTTTGGCTTATTTCTAGCCAGCTTTTCTTAAATCATCCTGTCTATATTTTGCCGTTAGGCTTTATCTTTCTCTATTTCTGTATACCTTTCTTTACTTCTTACTCGGTGGCTTGCTGTGTAGCTGGTGGTTGGCCCCTGGAGTCCTCTTCTCCTCCTTTTCTTGATCCTTGGTCCCTCCTCCTAGATTTCTCATTTATCCTCTCTGCCTGCCAGCCCTGCCTATCCTTTCTCCTATCTCGCTACTGCCTGTTCAGCCTTTATTAGACCAATCAGGTGTTTTAGACAAGCGAATTAACACAGCTTGACAAAATTAAACAAATGCAATATAAAAGAATGCATCATATCTTTGCATCGTTAAAACAAATGTTCCACAGCATAAACAAATGTAACATCTTAAAATAATATTCCACAACACTAATCTATCAGGGAATATGTGTATGTAAAATTGTCTTTTCTTTAATCAATAAAGTTTTAGATACTGAGCTTTTATCATTCTCTGATACTTCATTCTGTCCTGTTAATTAGGTAAAAGACACAGTCATAAAAAGTTTGTGTTGTTTTTGCCAAAAACCTTTACTCGCTCTTCCTCACTTTACTTTTATTTTTGGTTTTTCAAGACAAGGTTTCTCTGTGTAGTTTTGATGCCTGTCCTACATCTCGCTCTGTAGACCAG